GTTGGGGTGAGTGGATAGAGGAGAGACAAAAGAAGAAAAGCAACAAGACACAACAATCAAACACTGATCAGGTCGATGTGGCTGGGGACTGCTCGTCAGAGACGTAGAGCTCCAGGGCCAGGGCAACCTGCTGAAAGGTGGAGAGAGAGAGAGAGGACACACTACGGGACAGAGGAGACACAAAGTTAGTAATGTGTAATGGTGGCATATAGAAGCATAGGGAGAGAGAGGAGAGGAGAGGAGAGGAGAGGGGAGAGAAACTCAGAGCATCAAGGGGCCCCCCAGCAGCTTAGGCCTATAGCAGCATAACTAAGGGAAGGCTCAGGGCTCCAGTGTGTGAGTCAGAGTCTGGTCGCCCCACCACCTCGTCTCTCTGTCGCCCTCACTGGATTCATGTCCGCAGCCCCCTGAGAGCTTCACTCAGGAGGCAGCGACTGTAAACAGGAAACGAAAGAGCAAATCCAGTGACGAGCTGGTGAAGCCAGTGGAGCATGTAGCAGCAGGAGCCACTGATTTTTCTCAGGACTCAGCAGAGACCAGCTAAAGGAGAGTGAACACTGGACACGACGTCCCTCAGGCGGACACAACACAACTCCAACTGCGGGGCAGTGCTGCACCGGAACTGCTGCATGTGGGCATAGAAAATCATTTACACATTAGCCCAAACATCTTCGTCTTCAGTCCAGCATCTGTTTCACTAGTTTATAGAACTCAGAGCGACCTCTGGTCCACACAGTGAACCTGCTCCTGGAGGAGCTTGGTCTCCACTGCAGCTCTGCAACAAACATTTGTAGACACGCACATGTATTTAAAGCAAATGTCATTAAATCACTGAAATTGAAGTTGGAAATATGCAAAGAACAGATTTATTTATTTAAGACTAGATGCATCTAATGGTAAAACTGGATTGGAGTCTTTGTAAACACCATCTATTACTCAGTTAAACCTTTGTAAATCTTTACTTGTAGATCATGAGACGTGCATTTCTCATTGACACTCACACATTTCTTGCCTTAGATAATTTTAGTTATTTGTGTTTTTGCAAACAGAGAGATTTTTTTACTCTTCTGGTTTCAGCTGTTGGGCGGAGCTGGGGGACGTGTCTGCCAGCCTGTTACAGCATGTTCTGTCCTGTGGTGGCCACACATCACCAAACACAGCTTTAATCATCCTATCAGCCGCAGTAATCACCCATCTGTGCTCCTGCAGAAGCAAACATAACACACACACCAGTGCATTTAAGAATAAACTCCTCAAACTTTCTTGGCCCATGACGACGTCAGCCTCCACACCGAGCAGCCGCCTCGCTTTATGTTTGCACAGCTTTATTGGCATTTTACAAACAGGTCATTACCAACATGCCTTGGGGCTCTGAGCTGCTTTTACTGGAGGGCGTATTAGTGAGGGTGCAGGGGAGGGACGGCGAGAGAGAGAGAAGGCGTGAAAGGAAGAGTAGCAAAGCGAGATAAATAGGTGAGAGTTTTTAATTTAGCGAGGCTCAGTGAGCGAACCTAAGCAGAGACTTGCTGCCGTGGTAACGGGGTAAAAATGAGGAGGGGTAAAAAGAGAGGGAGGGGGAGGGGGAGGGGTGAGAGAGGTACAGTAGCATGAAAATACAACAGTGGGGTGAGGAGAGGGTGAAGGGGAGGTGAGAGGGGTGAGAGGAGGGACGGCGGAGACCAGAGGCAAACACAGTCGGTAGGAAAGGAAAGAAGAGGGAGAGCAGCGGAGTGAGGGGAGGTGGGAGGAGGTGTGGAGCTGAACGGACAGGCGCGCGCACACACACACACACACACACACACACACACACACACACTAGCCCGGCAGCGTGGAGCGTCAGACGAAAAGAGAGCAGCAGCTGCGTGGGGAGAAACCAGAGCCAGTGAAACACCAGACCTCTGCTGGAGCCAGCAGGGCTGCCTGACAGTCCTGACTTTGGGTTTACAGCAGGCAGCCGGGCCATCTCCGCAGTGTGGGGACGCTCCAGTCAGGCTGAGGACTCACAGACGGAGTGCAGACAAACATCATGTTCCGTGGAGGAAATTCCACTTAGTGGACTTAGCAGGTTTTGAATGACCTGGTTGTGTTTGCAGAGTTAGATGTTTGACTCTGTTCTTGTTTTGTAGCCAACCCAGACAACTGAAGGATCGACAAACAGCAGGTTCACAAGAAAGATTTAGGATTTCTCTTGCACAAATGCGGAGCAGATGTCTGGACCTCTGGTCTTGGCAGACCACCTGCAGACCTGCTGGCGAGTCCTCTCTTTGTTTCAGTAGCTGCTGCACAGTAACATCCTGGTTCTGGAGTTTGGATCATCTGTTCAAAGGAAAACCAGGTAAATAAAGGATACACATGCAGCAGGATTATAAACCGTGTAGTATTCTGGACTTTGTAGACGACCTGCCACCGAGTCTTTAAACTATGTCAGTGGCTGCAAAGATGTGAGTTAAACCTGGTTCTGGAGTTTTTAGTCATTAAGGAAAATCAGAACCTTCTGTTCTGTCCATTTTTATTTTACAGAGAAAACAGAGTGAAGTTCTGGAGCCAAGACCTCGTGGACTGTCTTCATCTTAAATCTGCTGAGTGGTGAGTAGTGAAGTTTTATTTCTATTACTACATCAGAGGCAAATCAAGTCCCTCATGTCTTTAACCAGAACTATGTAGAACCCAAAGGTAACCAGACTAGATGGAAAAAAATCCCTTTAGATATTTAAGGTTTTCACATTCAGGGAAAACAGCAGTTCTACTGCTGAGGACAGTTAACAGTTGGGTTTTGATGTTTGAGAGGCAAATGGAGGATATTAATAACAGACCTGTAGGAGACTGGGCTACAAGTCTGATACAAATCTGGTCCTTCCATCCTCGGTGTGTCCAGTGCCCCATGAAAGACCTGCTAAGAGCACTAAGTCTGTGAGGAGGAAACTGGACCTGTCCGAGTCCTGTGGCTACACAGCACACTGCTGCAGCCCCGTTTACACAGGCTGCTCTACATTTCCAAGAACACAGAGGCAACACTGAGGAGGTAATTGCAGGATAGGTTGAATCACAGACCTTCTTAAAGAATCTGCACAAACCAGCTTCAGGGACCAAACCACCTGCTGGTTTCCTCAGGACAGGATAAGATCTGAAGAGGTGCTCGCCACCTGTTGCACATGAGCAAGTGGCTGCAGCTGAGACTTTCTTTGTGGACTCTAGTCCTGCAGCTCATCTGCAGATAAGGAGTGAGCTGAAGTTTGTCCTCAATAGCTGCTGCATCACTGCATTTTGTTGCAGTTTTATTTTTCTCCTTTGCGCTTTTGTTCTGCCACAAACTGATTTTTCTACCCAAGAAGGAAACAAGGTGCTGTCTCACACAGTGGACACATGGACGGTGCACATGCAGCAGGGATCCAGCCTATAGGATCATACGGACAGGAGCTGATGTCTGGCTGTATCCCTGGGGAGCAGCTGCAGCAGCTGTCGTCTCTGTCACCCACAGTCCCACCAACAGGAAGCAGGCGGTGATGGACCTGCTCCTGGTTTCTCCCCTTTAGGAGACGGTGTGTTTGAGTTCTTCACCAGGACTCTGTGTCAGACCACATCGCTCCTCTGACTTCTGGCAGGTGTCTGTGTTTTCCTGTTCTCCCCTTGTAGTGTGACTGAAGCACAACCACATCAGGAAACTGTACTGAGGCCTGTGACACTGGGTGGCAGCGTTTCTGGATGCCTCAGTAAAAGTGTGTCGGAACCAGCACTGACAGACACCGATGACAGGAACACAGCGGGCAGATGCTGCGTCCAGAGCCACATGTTGATGCTCAAGGCTTTAACTTCAGAGCAGGAAGCAGGTGAAGCCAGACGACTGACTGACGAGTCTCTTTGTGCGGCTACAAGCTTCAATCACACTCTGAGAAACCGCGACTGGGCTGCAAAAGGAAGAGATGATTAGTTTCATTTGAGGAAGAATCCATGCAGCTTTGAGTTCCTTTCCTTCACTGGAACCATCACCAGCTTTAAAGTAAAACAGACCCTTCTTCTTTTAACACACCACAAAGTTTAACTCCTACATTTCTACAGACACAGGTAGAAAGACGCAGGTTTTCAGAGCTGTAAAAATCCACATGATTTCACATCTTTCAGTCTGGATCAGTGTGTAAAGTTCATAAAGGCTGCACTTCACCCAGGCTGATGTGAAAGCTGAGGGCTGGAACTCTGAGCACAGATCTAAAGCACTGACACCGGTTCCTTTGATCACAGGTGTCTTTGCCAAACTTCCTCCTTTTCCTGGGTTCAGTAGTTCTTCTGTTGTTTTAACAGATCAGAGTCGTGTTGAATTTACTGCTGTCGCTGTTCCTGTGTCTGTGTCTCGTTATGAAGAAGTGTCCAGTGTTAAAGACACTGAATCAGGCAGAGCTCTGGTCCTTAGGGACATTTTAGTTTTTGGCTGTTTTCATGTTTCTTTTTCCAACTTACTACTTTTGCATGTTCTGAAGTTTGTGACTGATTTTCAGAAACATTTCGGTCTGAGACACGACGACCACAGGAGCTTCAGACGGAGACCTCTGGGTTTGTCTGTGTGCATGCTGTAGAGAGCGTGTGTGTCCAGATGCCACCTTTCACCACAGATGGGCCCCGACACCCACATCACCGTGTGACAGTGACTCGGCTGCTCCTGAGTTATGGCTCCACAGTAGTGGACTCACTGTGAGGAAAACAAACCGAGTGTCAGACACACAGAACGAATCTGAGCAGGAGCAAACAACATTTACACACATTTCTTTTGAAATCGCAGCCGAACTGGAGGTCAGAGCAGCCGAATCTCACAGCCTGGAACGTGGCGCTCTCACCAAGTGACGACACGCTGCAGCCGCTCGCTTTGTGTTTCTGGAGAATTTTATCCTGGACCATTTGGACTTGTCTGTGTTTGAGGACAAAACCGAGTGACTTGTCCTGGGACCTGGATGTTTCTCCTGTTTTTTTCTCACATAGCAGTGATTCATTGTTTTCACTATAACTGACTGCAAAGGATCATGGGAGACCTGACGGCCCATGAGAACCTGGTTCCCCACTGGAGACACCGACATGATTCATTATGTTTCAACAGTTTTACTGGTCTAGATTTTAATCAGATGGATTAACACCAGTTTAGATCTTAGACTCATTAAGATGATCTCAGTTATAATTATTTCAGTTCCACACATTTCACGTTATCAAACTAACAAACATTTTTTGAGGCTCTAAATTTTGCTTTTTTGGACAAATTTATTTCAGCACAAACCTTTTCTGAATTTGAGCTGTGCAGATTTTTGCTTCAGCTGGATCCTTTATAGCAGAAACTGTTCAGACGAGCCAGGACACTCTGTGGCAGAGAAGGATCTGGTGCAGATCACAGCCACCATCACAATGCTCCCTGGAGAACTGGCGTCAGGTGGAGGGGGTCGCAGGCGCAGGGTGCGCCTGCTCTGGTGGCTGGGCCTCAGGCGGTGGTCTCGTCGAGGGACCCTGGTCTTCGCTCTGCTCTGGTTTGGCTCCTGGTTGTTCCTGAACGGCCTGGTTCTGGTCCACAGGACCATCATGTCGGACTACTGCACCGACGACAGGAGCAAGAGGATCCTGCGCAGACTGGTGAGTCAGTCGGTCAGTAGTGTCTCAGTGCAGACGGCGACACAGAGACAACAGGGTGAGCGAGCACGTACTTCTGTTAACAACATATAGGCTCATTGAAGTAACTGTGTACGATGCGCACAACCATCACCATAAAGTTTTACTTTACATCATAAACACACTTCCCTAAAACTCAGCCTGACACTGGGGCACATGGGAAATAAAGCGCTGGTTCTCTACCGGCAGCAGAAATGAACTAAAACCAGTGGCTGTCTAGATGGAAACTAGTCTGACACCGGATGTAGCACGTGGAACGTTTGTCTGCAGGATGGTGAAGAGATCACAGTTAAAAGTGTCAGAAATGTGCACACAGCTCGGTACTGTAGACCAGTGGTCCCCAACCTTTTTATCACTGCGGACCGGTCAACGCTTGACAATTTTGCTGCGGCCCGGTGGGGGTGGGGGTGGGGTGATTACGTAGATTGTTTATATTGTTAATATAATAATAAATGTGAATTCACTGTGTACTTGTATGCAACTTAAGCAGTTGCGCCACCAACATAACATGAGTATAACATCAAAGTCTCAGTTTTCAGTGCTGTGGTGGCGATCTCAGGGTATTCTGTCATGACTTTAATCCAGAACACCGACAGAGTTGTTGTCTCGAACATACTTTTAAGGCCGCCGTCATTTGCGATCTCCAGCAGTTGATCTTCTTGCACAGACCTGCTGGATTCACCTGGTTTGTTGACAAATGGGTTGCAGATCCATTCCTTGGCAGTTCGTGGGTCCTTTGTGGTTGGGAAGTAGCGCTCGAACTCTTTTAAAAGCAAAGACAGGTGATCGTGCACCAGCTGGGAGAATGAAGGCTCAGGCTCAGTCTCACCCAAAATCCCCACTAATGTTTGAAACATGTCCGCAGGCTGAATATGTCGCACAAGTAAGCCAGTTTTGGCGCTCAAGTGACCGAGATGTAACCGAGAGAATGCGGTCATTTTTCAAAATAAAAGATCATTCAGACTCAGATAATAAATAAAACGGAAATAATTAATGAGTTCTTGTGCGGCCCGGTACCAATTGATCCACGGACCGGTACCGGGCCGCGGCCCGGGGGTTGGGGACCACTGCTGTAGACTGTCCTGTAAAGTTGCTATGTTCAGGTGTCAATGGAGCCGTTTCCATCTCAGCAAACACGCCTGTTTCCTTCTACTCGTCTGTCTCGTCTTCAGCGTTAAAGCCTTTCCTGAGAACGTCTACCTTCCTCAGCTCTCGTCGACTGTTTCTGTGACTCCTGCTCCCACTTATTATTTAGACGGTTCCAGTAAACAGGCAGGCGAGTGGAGATAAACAGCCAGAGGTCAGCAGTCCTATCTGCTGCAGCATCTGCTGGTGCATTGTGGATAAATACTGATAGCTAGATGCTCCGTTCTCCTTCTCATGCTGCTCCTAACCTCCACTCCGTCACTTTCATAGGAGTTCCCTTCAGCTTCCTGACACTCTGCCTCTTCTGCATTTCATGCCCTTTGACCTTATTGTCTCCTGCTGCTCCTTGTGATCCAGTGCTGCTCCTCGGACTCTCATTTGGCAGCGTTTCCTTCCCTTATCTCTGATTCTGGGTGAATCATTGTCTACAAAGAGCAAACAAGAGAGTAGTTGACATACGTCCATGGTACCTGACAGGACAGAGGTGACCTTTGACCTGGGAGACGATGTTTGCTAACCACAGTCATCACAGCTTCTCCTCATCTTAACCAAGTAGTTTTCATAAACCAAACCCAATCTTTTTCAGTTTAGAGGAAGTTGAGTTTGCAGCCAGTGACACAGCAGCAGCAGGGCCGACATCTGTGCCTGTAAAGGACACTGTGCTGCATTTGGTCATGAACCATTAACAACACAGACGACCTCTGCAGTGACAAGTCGTCTGAGGTTAACAGTTTAACGCCGTCTTCTCTAACAGCAGTGGAGAAGAAAACCAGAGCTGAGCCATCATAAGTCTCGTGGCCTCTCCACAGCTGCTGCAGGCTCGGTGTGCAGCTACAGGTTAGAGGAGCACTGCTGCAGGGACACAGCCTCTGTAGCCTGCACACATCTGGCCTCTCCATGAGGACAGACTTTGGCTGTAAACACTTTTCTAACTATGGTTTTTCGGTCCCTTGAATGAAACACACTGTGGGCATGTTTCACTGCAGTGATGATACATGATAACATACAAACCCAGCTGTTAGAGGAACCATTAACTCAAACTCACACAGCGACTCAGAGAGAAGCCCATCTTCCATCCGCCTCCCTCCCTGTGCTATTAAGGCTCCAAAGAGGAAACTGATGAAATCCCAAATAAACACTGAGATCCTAAGTCAACAAATGGTGCGTGTTTGCTGAACTAACACTGCACTCCTCCTGCGCACATCATACACTGTTTGAAATGTTCCTGCAAATCCAGAGAGCACTTCCAGTAACATACAGAGGTTTCGTGTTTCAAGAAGCCGATCCCGCTCCTCACACAGCACTAATGCAGGACAGATGCACTTCAGCTGCACGGACAACTCGTGGCACAGAGACTAACTAAACCTCACACTGTTCCCAGCGACTGACAGGAAGTCCTGCTGTCACTGCTGCTCATTGGTGTTTCATGCTCATCCTACCTGCTTCAGGTGCTGCAGTAACCTGAGCAGCCCTCGACCTGTTTTCTTCTTTATGGAGGTTCATAACCTGATCTGTCGGTCAGCGAGTGAAGCTGTGTTTCAGTTGCAGACTCGACCCTCTGGTGCAGAAAAGTCACCAGGCTGAGTGAAGGCTTCAGCTGACTGTTCACTACCACAGTCTCTGTGAACATGCTGCTGCTCATCGGTTCGTTGTGGAAGAGCAGTGATGTTGGTACTGTGCAGCTCTAAGTCTGAAAAGTGGCCTGAAGAGTTCCTGAAAAAGTATCAGTGAGTTGTGTGGTTGGATTGAGATGGATCTGAAAATCATGCTGGAATCAGCTTCAGTTAAGTGCTCGCTGCCTTAGAGGCTCGGCGTGGTTAATTATAGGCTGGCTCTCCCAGCAGTCGGGTCACTGCCATACACGCTCTCTGTCCGCTGTGTCTCGGGGTGATGTCACGGGACAAAGATAAAAATACGCTGCTGGGAACCTGCTCGGTGCTCATTCATCTCTGCACTGGAAGCTGCTCCATGTCAGATTTCACTGTGAAGACAAGAGAAAAGATTGTTTTTCTCACCGGCTTCCTCACACACATCTTTCTTTCCTCCACATCCTCCCTGTTTCAGAATAAACAACAGAGAGGTTTTTTCTTTATTAGAAACACACATCAAAGAGGAGCCATGTTCCCTCTGTGCCCTGGTGTCAATATCACAGCCTCAAATAGAGTTATAATGTAAAATTCCTTGTCAAGTCCAGCTGCGTCTGACCCATCTCTAATTCATGTCAGGTTTCTGAGAGAAATACTGATCAAAAGCAGGAAGCACTGTGCGTTATGTTTAAGCAGGGATCTCGTCGGTTGAGTTAAGATGCAAAGGGCAAAGCCAAAAGCCACTGTTTCAGCAAACATGACAAACTTGGACTGTCAGGAAAGAATTATTAATTAAAACACAATGACATTTGTGGATGAGGAGCAGCCCAGCGAGCTGCCTAGATACTGTAGCTAAGTGTTGTAACATGAAAGGTGGGTGAACATAGCCTCACTGACGACTAGGGAAACTCTCCAACATGCACATTTCATAAAACAGGAAAAAAAATCTAAAAGTCTATCGCAGGATTAGCTGGAAGGCTGATTGCTAACATGCTAACCGGCCTAAAAGCTCAGCAAACTAATTTGATCGCCACTAATTACTTAGATTAACTAACAGGCCAACTGCCATTAAATAACAGTGTGAGGAAATGTCTCTGTGCTGTTTAGTGAGGGTGCAGACTGCACTCCTTCTGTTTCCTGGATCAGTTTGTTGCTGGACAGTGACACAGCTTCTGATTCTCCACTTAAATTTGGCACAGTCACGACGATCTGTGTTTGGCAGAAGAAGGTCACGACCCATCAGTGCTCACAAAAGTCAACACAGAAGCACTTTGCACATTCACAGCGACTCTGCTGAAGTTCCACTAAATTCATTTCAGTCCTGTGATTTACAGTTGTACAGTAAACGTTGGCGTAAACAAGCCAACGCTGCAGCAGAGCCCAAGCTGCTGCTGACCTCGGTGTTCAGTCTAATGCAAATTGTGGTCACACAGCTTTTATATTTTACACCAGACAAATCAGAGCATTTCCTGTGCTGTCGCTGTGGAGCCGGTGTAACACGTCCGTTACCCCCACAGACGCCCAGCTGTTCTGCACACATGGTTTCTGGTCCTCTGACTACCGATGGTCTAATGGCTGTTGCAGGGTCTGACCCCGTCGCTGCACGTCTCTGGTATCCCTCTGCCTGTTTATGCCCTGACGCTACAGTTTTTACAGCCTACCTTTGTGGTTTTATGCAGAGGAGACCAGGTACATCTAGAGCCCAGCTCCGTTTGTGTGTGTCTGAAACAGACTGCAGGTTGGGAACCTAAATTTATTTTACGACGTCCTGTAAAATGTTTCGCTGTAGTGCTCAAACTCCATGTGCATGACCTGACTGTTCGTCTGTCTGTGGCTCAGTGACTCTGCTCTTATTTGTCCACTGAAGCTGAATTTGCAACACAGAATCCATCTCAGTAAAACTGTGACTCATGACAAAGGGGCAGGAGTTTGTCGTGACCCTCACCGACCTTTGTAATGCAACATTAGTACAACTTGTCCCTAAAGACAGAAGCATCTCTACAGACTGTCAGGACAAGTTTTTCTTCTTTGGCATTGGTCAAAACAAGATGTGTGACACAACGGGCCCCTGACACAGGCTGATAAAAGGCCCCCGCCTTCCTACGTCAAACCAAAACCCAAGACTGAATCTCTCTAAAGATGTGTGCATGTCTCTGTGGTTGTTTAGTGTCTCTGTGGACACTCGGCATCCGTCTGTAAATGATACAACTTTTTGTTTCCCCTTCTGGGACC